TCTTGATCCTTGTTTATCGGATTATTATAATGAAAACAATAATTTTTATTAAATTTCCATTAATTTTGTCATCGTTATTATAATTATTATCATTACTTATATTTTTATTGTTATTATCATTTTGATATTTATCATCGTCATTATTATGAGGATTGTAATTTTTATTATCAAAATCAGTATCGTCATTAGTATCATGATTATTTTTCTTATCATTATTATTATTGTCCTTAATGTTACTGTCATGGTTATTACACTTATTATTAACAATTCCAATGATATTGCTATTATCATTCTCTAAATTAATATCATTTTAACTACCTCACTGGCATTATCATAAACATTATAAGTGTCATTACTGTTATCATCTTTATCATTATCGCTCTAATTATAATTATTTTTATTGTTGTCATTATTATCATTGTCATTGTTACTTTTATTGTCATTATAAATATCATAATTATCGTCATAATCATCATCTACATTATCGTTTCGATTAACATCATTATTTCTATTATCATTATTGTTTCAAAGATTGTCACTGTTATTATTATTTTACGGACCATTATCATAATTTTTGTATCAATAATTATTTTAATTTCAATTATTAATTACTGTTTGTAAATTGCCAAGTGAGGTGAAGAAGTCGAGAGAATTGATGTAATGTGGAAGCGTACATAAAACTTTGTGTCGTTTAATTCTTCTCTGCTCTGCTTCGGCAAGATTCGACTTGGTTAACTCAGCGAGTCTTGGCTGTAAGAGGCAATGAATGAATTGAACACTGACACTTTTGATTTTAACAGTTTTATTTAAAATAAATGCTTTTATTTTTTCACTACTATTTTATACATAAGAAATCTGTACATTTGCTAATTGATTATAATATCATTTTGTTTAAACTTTTATGAACTTTTATTAGTTTTAGATGTAGCGTGACTAGACTCTTTCCCTTTTAACTTTTGAAGTGAGTCTCTTCATACAGCCTCGTGAGACGCCGCTCGCACGAGCCCTCTATCCCCACTGATAGCCAGAGTATTAAAAGGCAACAGAGCTATAGTACGTGAGTCTTCTTTCTCACTTTCGCGTACGTTGCGGTGTAGTACTCGCCGCTGTAACTAAACTTACTATCTAAACTAAGCATATTTTGTTGATTGTTCTCAATCAAACATTCTGCCCGCGTTGATATGTAGTATCAATGAAAGGAGTTTGCAATATAAAATAAAATGGAGCAAATTATTTAATTAAATAAAATAACCGAGGCCAAACTCGTTAATTTTGTGAAACCTTAAACTTAAGATTGAATTTTTAATTCTGAGCTTTGTCATCGCATGAATTCTTCTTGTCTTCTTCCTCGACTAGAAGATCGTCTTCTAGGTGCAATTTGATTAGCTTCACGACTGGGCGAGTAAAGACGCTATTGGCAGTCTTGAGTGTAACCGTTTGCACCAGTCCGTCTGCTCCCGGATGTGTGTCTGTTACTAGGCCGAGAGGCCAAGTTGCTGGTGGGAAAAGCTCATCTTGGATAATGACAACATCCCCCTTTTTAATGTTTGGCTGTTTCTTGAGCCATTTGTTTCGGGTTTGGAGTTGTTGTAGAAATTCGTTCTGCCATCTTTCCCATAAAGAGTTGCGAAGATGACTGATCAAGCTCCATCGTTTTCTAAAATTCTATTTTTGTGAGAGGTCAACAGGTTTTGGAGGGGCGAGACAGGATGTGCCAACTAGAAAGTGTCCAGGAGTTAGTGCGGCTGGTTCCGAAGGGTCTGTGCTGAGAGGACCGATCGGTCTTGAGTTGAGGCAAGACTCAATCTTAGCAGATAGAGTGCTGTGCTCTTTGAAGGTCAGCGCTGACTTTCCAACGATCCGTGTGTAGTGGTGCTTAAAACTCTTGACGGCGGCCTCCCATATTCCACCAAAGTGCGGAGCTCTAGGTGGTATGAATGACCACTCAGTCCCTTGCATGGCCAGCTGTCCTTTAATATCCTTCACAAACTCAAAAGTTTCTGTAAATAATTGTTTGAGGTCCGTAGCTGCTCCTTTGAAAGTAGTTGTATTGTCCAAATACAGGCAAGAGCAGGCTCCTCTTTTAGCATTGAATCTGTCGTAGGCAGCAAGAAACGCTTTGGATGTTAGATCTGATACGATCTCAATGTGGATTGCTTTCACCGTAAGGCAAACGAAAATTGTAACGAATCTGTTGGTATTTTTCGCTCCTCTTCCTTTTGAAAAGAGAAATTTGATCGGTCCTGCGTAATCCAGCCGAGAGATCATGAACGGGCGCTGTGGTGTGACACGATCTTTGGAAAGATCCGCCATCTGCTATACCTCAGTTCTTGCATTGTAACGAGTGCATTTTACACATTCACGATTAATCTGCGTAGTAACTCGAAGAGCTCGTGTTATCCATACATGGCGATACAAGTGTGAGAGCATCAGCCTGATCCCTCCAAGCATGGTATGCTTGTGTATCTGACTAACGTATCTTTTCACAATGGGGCTGCTTCCAGGAAAAACGATTGGGTGTTCCACGCTGTATGGGAGAGTAGAATTCCTGAGTCTTCCTCCGACTCGTAGCAATCCATTTTCATCTAGGAATGGACAGCACTTCTTGATTGTGGATTTCTTGTACAGCTCCTCTTGTCGCTCAAGAAGTGTAATTTCTTTATAAAAATGTGCACGTTGAACTGCCCTGAAGCAGAAAGTCAGAGCCAAATTCCATTCTTATACTAAGAATGGACCAGTAATTTTCTCTTCTTTGGCTTTCGATGCGTTGAGTTTCCATTTCGCTAGATGTGCCAAAAATCTTTAAATTTTGAGGAAAGTAGATTTTTCAAGAAGAACGTTGATGATTTCCTTTTTTTTTTTTTATTTTTTGCCACATGAAAGTCTTGCACTTTCTCGATGCTTCCTTTTGTAGAGTTGTCTGTTAAAGACCACTCGAGTGGATCTTTCAAAATCCAACTTGGTCCATTCCACCAAAGTGAGAATTGAGCAAGCTGTGCGGGAGACAGTCTCCTTATCGCACAGTCAGCTGAGTTATCTGAAGACTTGACGTATTTCCAAAAGGCATTTGGGAACGTTAAAATGATGGTACTCACTCGGTTTGCAACGAACGTTGGCCATTTTGACGGGTGCGCCTTCAGTCAGTCAAGGACTATTTTGAAATCTGTCCAAAAGTTCATTTGTATTGGTGCATGCTTCAAATGTGAGAGTAGATGGTCTGTAAGTTTGACCATCAGCACTGCTCCACATAGTTCCAGTCTTGGCAGCGTTTGCAATTTTGTAGGTGCTAGTTTCGTTTTTGCCATTAAAATACTTGAAGTTTTACCTGGTATGACTGCATATATCACTGCGGCATAGCTTCTCTTTGAGGCAGCAGCGAATCCATGGAGGGTCCAACTTTCCCCCGTTAAAATTCCAATCCAAGGTGGAATTTTTATTGTGCTTAGTTCTGACAGTGCATTGCTAAAACAGTCCCACCTCATTTGGATGTCATTGTTAACAGGATCATCCCACTCGTATTTTTCCAACAAGATGTGTGGATGATGACTTTAGCAACTATTATAACTGGTGCTATCCAGCCGAGGGGGTCATAAAGCTTAGCAGTTTGAGAGAGTATAGTTCTCTTAGTAATTTCTTGATTTGACTTTAAATCTGCTAATCTGAGAGTGAAGTGGTCTTGTGTTGGTGACCAGTTTATGCCTAGAGTTGACGTGATCTCGCTGGCTCTAACTTCAATTTCATGAGTGTTACTGTTGACCAAACCTTGAAGAATTTGAGCGTCATTTGCTGACCATTTTCCCAGAGTCATACCTGCCGTTAGTAAAAGGTTGATCAGCTATTCTCGTAGCAGAAGAAGTGATTGAATATCATCAGCTCCACCGAAAATATTATCCACGTATACTTTTTCTCGTAGAAGTTGAGAAGCTTTAGGATGTGAAGCTTCACCAACAGCTGCCAGTTGAAGTAAGACTCGGATGGCCAGAAAAGGTGCAGCAGCAGTTCCCTGCACGACGGTGGTGAGGCGGTAGTCCTGGATGGGCTGNATCATTGTCAGCCTCATTATAATGATTAACATGTTATTGATAATATTATTATTTTTATATTATTTTTTTTTTCTATCGTTTGTAAAGGCATCCTTTTCTTGATCATCATACTTTTCTTATAATAATAACATTTATCACTTGAATTTTTTTATCGTTGTTATAAACATAATATTGGTCGTTACTATCACTATAATAATAATTATACTTATTGTTAATATGACCATCTTTTTTATCGTCATCATTAATATTGTCATCGTTATTATTACTGTTATATATAATATAACCATTATAATCTAAATAACATACATTTAGAGTATTGTTTGTATTATAATCACTTAAAATATTACCATCATCATTCTTAGAGAACGATTATAATTACGAGCATTAATACAATAATAATTGTTATTTCCATTGCTAATACCTTTATATAATCAGTATAGCTATTATAAGAAGCATGATTATAATTAGCACTAAAATCACAAGCATAATCTTTAATATTATTGTTATTATTTCTGTCTTCGTAATAATAAAATAAACTGTAACTTTTACTTTTATAAACAGAATTGATTCTTTAACATGTAATACTTTTTTAAACATTATCATTATCATTATTATTATCGTCATTATAGTAAACATTGCTTTTGTTTAACCATCGTGGTCATTATAATTATACTTATTAATTCAAACTTAATCAACATCATTAACATAAGTACAATCAATAACGTTGTTCTCATTATCATCATCATCATTATCATCAATATTAACATTCCCATCATCATTATCGATATCATTATCACTATCATTATCATTATTGTTTTCTTTAGTTTTTGCTTTAGCTTTTCTATTACTATCGAAACTATTGTCAGCATCATAACAATTATTATATAAATTATTTCTGTTAACAAGATAATCATCATGATTCTCACTATTATCTATTTTATTATTAGTATTTTTATAACTGTTAATGCCAGAATTATTACAATTATAATCATTATTTTTAATACAATATAAATCCCACCTTG